TAAATGAAGTTAAGCCCACAGTTTTCATTGCTCATAATCTCCCTCACTTCAATATTAAATCTGTGCAGAGCTTGAATGAACTATTAAAGGATTTAGACATCATCATCTGTTTCTCCCTTAGCCAACCTGTCCCCCCCCCCAGGAATATATCCTTCCATATTGAAATGTATCTTTCAGCTGTGTGTCCTCTCTCCTTACTAATTACTAATCCATGCTAATTTGTTTCATGTGGGGGGTGGACATGGAGAAGCTCTGTCCTTGAACCTCTGCCCCACATTCCAGCACATCAGTTTGTCACTGAGCTAGGTAGACCAATGATATGACTTGGTATCGGGCAACTTTCTATACTCCTAAACATTGTTGTGTGTGGCATTTATATCTATTTCTCCAATTGTTTTCTCAGGCCAAACAAACCTGAAAAACCTGTGTGATCAGAGGCACTAGTTAAGGAAGAAATTAGGGTCATTTTTGTTAAGGGCGTGGTGGCACCAATGCATTCCCTTCAGTTCATAAAAACCTAACCTGTTTATAACCTACATAGAACATCTGTAGGTATGTATTGACAATGGGATGACACATTAGCACCCAAAGCTGTTGCTGCTGATCTAGCTTGTCCAGTTTAGTTAATCCTAGAAGCAACTTGCTAGAAAATGGGTTGCCATAATTTTTGGAGAAACTGCAGCAATTATTTTACAGCAAGCTAGCAGTCTCTGTGCATATGCTGGGTTACATTAGCGCTTGCTCCTGATAGCCTAGAGCTCTAAAGCACCATTCTTTGCCAAGGAGGCGGCGGCTATCTCCAATCTGGCATCTGAAAATGACAAAGCGATCTATCAAACAGAATTAGGCAGGCAGATCCTTCCTGTTCTGTTTAGCGTTGTAATTCAATATGGCCAAGCCAGAGGCCTAACCAGGAGAGAATCGTCCCTTCAAATCTAATGAAGCACGGCTCGCCTTTTGCATCCCACAAGCATTAGCATGTAAGCTTCCTCTATTTTTAAATGGAGATGGGCATACTGTACATGTCAAGCAGAATTTATCAAGGTATTTTGGAGACAATCTACATTGGGCAATAGTTCAGTGGTAAAAACACACTGTGAAATACCAGTTGTTGACTTCTGGATCCTTTGAAAAGAGTGTTTGATGTATATTTGGACACTTAGGTTTTGATGCATTATTTCCTGTTCTGAGAAATGTGGGCAGTGCCACACTGACATCCAGGTCTTAAAGTGGGCAAAAACGTGATTGTAAAAGAGTGGCACACAAATCTCTACCCGTGAGAAGCTGTGCATAAGGCAAGGTTACAGAAACCATTTTAAAATTAATGTTTTTTTTAATAATCTGTTTGAAAGGAATGTGTTGCTACGATCCTTCCCAACTTAGTGCATCACATAAATGTAGAATTCAGTATACCATCAAACTCAGCTTTCTATTAAAGTAAGTTAGGAAAAAGACAATGACTAGACCAGTGTTTCCCAACCTTTTTTGGGCAAAGGCACACTTGTTTCATGAAAAAAATCTCGAGGCACACCACCATTACAGCCCCGTGACGTCAGCGCGCAGCGTCACGCCGGAAGGGACGCACGAAAGTGTAAAATTCAATTTTTTCCCCTCCCCCTTGCCTTCCTTCTGTGCCAACCGCCAAAAAGCCAAGAATCGCGGGACCGCCGGCGGAGGGGGGGAGGGCGAGCGGAGGCAGCGGCGAGCCCCGTTCCTCCCCATCCGCCCCATTCCGTGCAAGGAGCGCGAACAGGTGTGAGAAGGGGGTCAAACCTGCGGGTCGGCGCCGGGGAACCTCCAAGCTTTGGGGGTGGGGGGGGGAGGAGGCAGCAAAGCGAGGCAGGAAGGAGAGCGTGGCTTGGCGAAGTACTCGGCGGCGAAGGCCAGCAGGTCCGGCGGCCGGTGCCGCAGCACCTCCACCGTGTAGCCCTGCAGCAGCTCAGTCAGACCCGGCGGGATCTCGATGCTCATCTTGTAGCCAAGGCGCGCGGGAGACTCAACGGACGGGCCCGGGGGAGAGAGAGAGAGAGAGACACGACGGAGAGAGAGCGGGAGTCCCTGCTCGCCGTCGCCACCGCTACAACTACTGTGGCAGTTGGTCGTGGTCGCCGCCGCCGCCGCCCACCTCTATCTATCTCTCCCCCTCAGCTTTCTACGCGGGCCTCGAGCCGGAGGTGGGGGGTGGCCGCCACCGCTTTCTCCGCCTCCACGTCCTGCCTCCTCCTCCTCAAGCCCTCCGTCAGCCCTGAGGGAACCGCCGCGCTCGCGCCGCCGCTCTCTGACACGCGAGAAAGAGAAAGGAACGGAGCGGCGGGGTAGTCGGGGGAAGGAGGGGTCGGAATGGAAGCGTGAGGCGAGCTGCGCATGCCCAGCAGGAAGCGACGGAGAACGCCACAGAGAGAGAGAGAGAGAAGCAAGGGAGGGCGGGGAGTGGGCGGGAACACGCTTCATGCGTCACAATAACGGACAAGAGGCGCTCGAGGGATAGATTAGGACCTAATTTGACTTTTACCAAAAAAAAAGAAAACTTTCGAATTTTCCCCACGGCACACCAGGCAACATCTCGCGGCACACTAGTGTGCCGCGGAACAGTGGTTGGGAAACACTGGACTAGACCATATGGCTGCAAAGATTGGATGGAAAATGCAGAGACAACCTCATGATACCTCTGAAGTGTGGATATATAAGGTGGGGGAAATCCTGTTTGGAACTCCACCATCTGAGCAATACAAAAGAGCCATATTCACAACTCACAGAGAAACAGATTGGAATGATGTAAATTGTAAAACACCCAAAGAAACCACATTTGGGTTCTCGCTTTGGACCATAAATGGTATTCTGGAAAAAAGTACCTGGAATGGCAACTTGTGAGCTAGACAAGCTAACCAAATTCCTGAGTAATAATAATAACTGCTAACAAACTGCTTCAATTGTCCATTTAACAGTAATGGAGTAAGGCGCTGGAGAGACATAAAACTTCAGTTTGCACCTTCAAAATCCCCGAGGCTGAATCTCACCTCTTTTACACAGAATCTGCCTCTGCTAGGATGAGTGCCAGATGAGGAGTGTGACCTTGAGAAGTCAAAGGGGCTAGCTCAATGAAGATTTTGACCGAGTGTGCGGCAGCTGTGAAAAAAAGGAGAATTCCATGTTAGGGATCATTAGGCAGTGCTGAAAATAAAACCGAAAATAAAACTGCCAATTTCATAACACCATTATATAAATCTATGGTGCAACCACACTTTCAGTCCTTTGTACAGTTAGTGAAACGAGAGGTTTCCCCACCACTCGCATCACAATGCCAGAACCTGGGGCATCCAATGAATGAAGCTGAATGTTATATGATTTGGATAAGGACAAACCACAGAAACTACGTCTTCACACAACACATAATTAAAGCATGGAATTTGCTCCCACAAGATGAGTGATGGCTACTGACTGGGATGACTTTAAAAAAAAGGTTAAATGAGTTCATAGAGGTTAAGGCTTCCAAGATCTGATGGCTCTGTTTTACTTCCACGGTGAGAGGCTGTATGGCACTGGATACCATTAGCGGGGAATACCAATACTACTGTTGTACTTGGGTCCCACCTGCTTCTGAGCTTCCCGTAGGCATCTGGTTTGCCACTGTGAGAATCGGGTGTTGTACTAGATGGACCTTTGGTCCGCTGCAACAAGACTCTGCTTACGTTCTAATGTGTGAATTGGAGTGCTTTGCCTGGCTTGCAAATTGATGTTACAGCCCATACCCAGTCACGTGTCACTGGTGAATTTAGTTAGTTTGACTGGCTCAGAAGGAGGCGTTCTGGGCTGTTTACACAGAAAATGGTTTACGTCCTGCAATTGCGTATTGAAATATGGTATCTGTGGAGGTTTTGTGGCTTACTTCGTCGTGCCCATTGGGTCCAGTGGGACATTAATTTGGCTGGCTTTACCGGCTCAGAACTTGGCATTCCAGTTTTTGGAGTAGCTCTTGACGCTTGGAATGAGTATTGGGGCATGGTTTCTGAGGATGAACCATGGCTCGTTGCATAAATCCAAAATGCTTTAAATGCTTGGAATGGATATTTGACCATGATTTCTGTGGAAGTTTTCTTCAGGATTCCTTTCTAGGCTTGTGTGACTGATGAATTTGGTTAACTCAGTTAGCTCAGAAGTTGGCAGTTTAGCATTTTATGGTGGGGAATACCATTTATGGCCCAGAACTGGTACTGGAATGTGGCTTCTGTGGACATTTTGTGGTTTACTCATTCTTATGAATTTGGCTAACTTTGCTAGCTTGGAAGTCTCCATTCTAGGCCATTCAGTTGTGTTCCAGATTTTTTTCTGGCTATGAAGAAGTTAATGTGTGTGTGTTATCAAGTGTCTCTAACACATTGCACAGTTTTTGACGGCAGTTTTATGCGTAAGGGGGTCATTCTGGCCCATTCTGCACCAGCTTTGACACATCCTCCAAATTCTTAATGTGGCAAAATTATTATAATGACTAGTTTGAATGGGAACTGTCTTTTCTAACAGCTCAAAAAGAGGCCAACATTTGATGCCCCCCTGCAGCCCTTGTGCTGTCTTCCCAAAACTGCTTAAGCAAAGCACTGGGCTTTGGGAAGGAGGCACGAAGCTCTGTCAGGGTCCTAGAGCCCTCCACGCCTTCTTCTCAAAGCTGAGAAAGTGCTAACTAGACTTTGGGAAGGAAGTGAGAGGCCTCTAGGAACCTGTCAGAGTCCTCATGCCTCCTTCTCAAAGCCCAGCACTTTGTTTACCCGGCTTTGGGAAGGCAGTTGAAGGACTGTGGCAGAGGTCAAATATTCCTGGGGGTTGCCAAAAAAGGCTTTGAGGGACTCATGTTGGACCACTTTGCTCTAAGTAATTAGAAAAACTCTAATCTTACATCAATGCTGACTTCCAGCTTTTTCAGTCTTTGCCATGCTCTGACCCTCCTTGAATGGAGAACTTGACTGTCAACCAAGGTACATCACTCTTTTCTCCACTTTCTCTTTTAGGAACTTAATTCTGCAGAGAGCCCAAGACCGGCAGAGGAGAAACCCAAACGCCGAAGACTCCTTTCCCTGGACACATTTAGAGGGTAAAGTCCTGCACCATGTTGATTTGCCATAGTCTTTAAAATTAATTTTTACAATACAGTGGTACCTCGGGTTACAAACACCTTGGGTTACAAACACTTCGGGTTACAGACTCCACTAACCCAGAAGTAGTACCTCAGGTTAAGAACTTTGCCCCAGGATGAGAACAGAAATCGCGCGGCGGCAGTGGGAGGCCCCATTAGCTAAAGTGATTCCTCAGGTTAAGAACAGTTTCAGGTTAAGAACAGAGCTCTGGAATGAATTAACTTCGTAACCAGAGGTACCACTGTAGATGAATTTATACAGTTTATCATTTAAACTTGGAGCAGTGTTTATGACATGCCTTCTTCCTGAGGAATGGGGGGTGCAATGGGTTATGCAGGATGCTTAAGCCCCACCTTTTCTGATGGCTGCAAATGCTACTGAGATCTTCATTTTGGGATTTAAGCAGACCTTCAGACTCATTCACTTAATCATATGGTCTAGAAATTTGGCTTTAAAAAACAAAAACAAAAGAGTTGTTGACTGGTTTTGAATTCTACCCCACTCCTGTACTTTCCTTTTAATAGAGAAGAAGACTCGTTTAATAGAGAAGAAGACTCCTGTACATTCCCCACTCCTGTACTTTCCTTTTAATAGAGAAGAAGACTCGTTCTCTTTAGTAGAGAAGCAGCCCTTGGCTAAAGGCTGTGGTGTTTTCATACAGCAAGTTGTTTTGTTTGTGTTCATGTAACTAAATGAGGAAAACAGTTTTCAGGGCAATACCCTAGATACTACTATAATATAAATAGTAAGAGAACAGTAATGTTAATGCCATTTTGAGAAAAATGGTGGATTACCCGGATTCATAAAGACATGAGAGATAAGCAGTTGACCAGATCTTTTCCATGTGCTGCTGAACTTCATTTTCTTATTACTGTAGTTGTTACAATCCTACTGGGAGTAAAAGGTTAACATTGTTACTGCAATGGATTTTCCCCTACCCTACTGCCTGATGAGCTAGTAAGCCCCCCCCTTCTTTATTAAAAGATTTTTCTTAGGTAGCAAAAGTACATATGATTCTGTTTTCAAATCACAGAGTCCTTCATACAGGTCAGTTCCATTCAGACAATATGTAAACAACAATAGGAAATGGAGCCAAGCCAAGAATCAAACCATTGGCATTTTAGATACAGTGATATTGTCCATTGTGTCTATTCTACACTGCCATTTTTAAAGGACAGAGTTAACGTCTAGTAGCTGGCAGAGGGAGCTTGTGAGTACATTAACTACTTAGCTAGTTATGCTGTTAAGAAGGTGCAGAATTCATTAGAGGTACATTGGGTACAGGCAACACCCCCATTTACATGGAGGGGTTATATTCTGAGGCACTGTGTGTGTCAGTGAAATCATGTATATTTGAAACACCATTGGAAAAGCCCTTTTGTGATATTTTTGTGACGTTTTCAGGTTACTTCCAGGTTTGGCACAATGCATGCTTGCGTGATCAAGCATATATTGAACGAGCCAGTTCCCAGGATTCCTTTGGGGAAGCCATGACTGTTGAAGCATGGTAAAAGAGTGCTTTAAATATATGGTAGGGTGAGACTGCTGTTTGTCTAAGGCAATCAAGGGAGTTCATAGCGAGGCAAGATTTGAACCAAGGACTTCAGGCTCACAGTCCACTCTCTTCACCGCCATGCTACCCTACCTCAGTACTAGCAGTGATGGGGACACAAGTGACGCTGTGATCTACACCACTGAGCCTCTTGGGTTTGGTGATTGGAAGGTTGGCCGTTTGAATCTGTGCACATGAGGGGGTGAGCTCCCGTTTTTCTGTCCCAGCTCCTGCCAACTTAGCAGTTTGAAAGCACACCATGCAAGTAGATAAATAGATACCGCTGCGGCGGGAAGGTAAACAGCGTTTCCGTGCGCTCTGGCTTCCGTCACGGTGTTCTGTTGCACCAGAAACAGTTTAGTTATGCTGGCCACATGACCCAGAAAGATGTCTGCGGAAAAACGCTGGCTCCCTCAGCCTGAAGCGAGATGAGCGCCGCACCCCATAGTCGCCTTTGACTGGACTTAATCGTCCAGGGGTCATTGACCTTTTACCTTTACTAGCAGTGATGTGACATGCTTGTTTTGCTTCTGTTTAGTCTGCATGCATGCAAGCAAATGTACAGTTTCTCCGTAGGCAGTTTCCTACTAAGTAGCTGCTAACTGGGATCCTATATAATGAAAAGGCACAGAGGTCATGAACTGGTTAGGAGGCAATTTGGTTCCCTTCCCGCAAGCCTGCCAGGTCACCAAAGATATCAGCCTTCTCTGGCTGAGTAGCTACTACAATGAGCTGCTTGTGGATTCTGAAGGAAAAGCGAGCCAATATAGCCCAGTCTGGCTGCCTGAGCGACACTTAATTGCATTTCATGGCATCTGATGCTGCATGCTCTTCCAGGGAGGAGATGGTGCAAAGCTAATGCTGTCACCACCATGTATTGTAATTAAGGTGAGAGATAATGCTATGCCATTTGGAAAACAAGATTTAAGCAAACATGTACTCAGGAAAGAAATGAGGCTTTAGGACATATTTTTCCCAAAGGGATAGCAAAAGGGTCTTACTAATTTATGGCATTTATATCCTGCCCTTTAGCCAAAAAGGCTCTCAGAGCAGCTTACAGAGCTCTATGCTAAGCTGGTCCTTGCCCTCCAGCTCGCAATCTAGACATGGCACACAAGGTAAAAGGAATGGAAGCTAAGTTTTTTTTTAAAAAAAGTTACAGTTCTTTTAATGCAGTTATATAGATAGTTTTGCTTATGCAGATTCTGTCTCTACAAGAGCAACAACTGTCAATGTCAGTGGTGGTTCTGGCAGCCTTGCCATTGATAAAAAGGAGTCTCACCCCAGAAGCAGCCTTTCTCCCAGATCAGCTGCAGGAGCGGAGCTGGTGATAATGTCTGCATTATTCCATCAGACTTGATAGAACTATGTTGATGGCAGTTAGACGCCTTCCAGGTGGGGTATGGATGGAATTAACCTTCTCCCTTGCCCATGTCCATGGCAGTTCTTAATAAGGCATAACAGTATGTAAAGCAAAGGTGCTCATATTCTTCTTCAGGCAAAGTGAAGCAACTTCGTCTGGTGGTGGATTTTGGGTAAGGGCAGCCGAGTAGAAGACAAATAGATCTTGCCATGTTGTGTGAGTCACCAAGGTCTCTTGCTCAGGGGCCACTGAAATGAACAAAAACATAGCAGTTACATATCAATGAGCCTTGAGCTAGAAGAACTTCTGGAGAACTTAAGAGCCCTGTGAATGGATCGGACTGTTGAGATTCCTGCATTGCAGGGACCCTTCCAACTCTACAGTTCTATAATTTGGTGATTCCTCTCTAGTTTAGCATTCTGTTACCCAAAGTGGCCAGCCAACTGCCTTTTGAAAGATTACAAGCAGGGTAAGAAGGCATTAGACTCCTTCTGCTATTGCTCCCCCAGCAGCTGGTATCAGGAACGTGGACTTATAAAAAATATTGGGGGGGCCCGGGAAAGCTCATGAATAATAAATAAGCTCATGAATATGCAAATAAAGTGGCTCCGGCCCTAAATAGGGCAAGCCACGCCCCCCCAGCCAGCCGATTGGCTGGCTGGGAGGTGTGGCCAGTCGGGATTCCCCTGTTCTCGCGGGGGCTGAAACCGCCAGGAGGAAGGAAATTCCCCCCGGCAGTGCCTTGGCAGTGGCGGTGGTGCTGCGAAGCAGCGAGGCAGGAGCCCCCGCCCCCGGCGCCCGAGATTATTGGGGGGGCTGAGCCCCCCCAAAATTTTTTTTGAGGGGGCTCGAGCCCCCTCAAGCCCCATGGAGTCGGCGCCTATGGCTGGTATTCAGAGGCATGGTACCTCTGATCGTGTAGGTCATATACTGCCATTGTGACTATGAGTGATCGATAGCCTTATCCTTCATGTGAATATGTCTAATCCCCTTTTAAAACCATCCAAGTTGGCAGCCATCATCACATCCCAGGGTAGGATATTCCAGTCTAAAGCTACAGAATGTATGAAGAGTTCACATTGCCTGTTCTGAAGCCCCTGCCATTTTGTCATTTTAGATGAGCAAGGGGAAATATTTATCTCTACCCATTTTCTTCACAAAGCATAGTTTTATCAACCTCTTTGTCTTGTCCTTCCTTTCCAGTAGATTCTGCTCCATTTCAGTTAGCATTAGGGAGGTCATTTGAATTTTCCCTTCTGGTATCAAAATATCTTGAGCAGGCCCTGATTTAAAGTGATGCAAAAACTGAATGTTCTATAAACATTTGCTGCATAACTCCCCCCCCCTTTGGTATATCAGGCTGCCAAATACTCAACTAGTACATTTGGAATCCAAATATGCAAAAATGCCTTTGGTCAAATCTGAAGCCTATAGGGCATTTCATATAATAATATCCAGGTCTAGCTCCCATTTGGATTTTAATGTTACAAATGGCAGACTTGGCCTGATCCCGACCCATAAAATAGAGCAGTATCACCAAAACCTCATGTAAACACAACTAAAAAAAGTAGGCACAATACATACTTTTCTATAATAACCCAAATCCAAAAATATTTGGGGCTATTCAGCCTTTCTTCAGGGAAATATTTGATGCTCAATGTAGCTGCATTTGAATAGCCTTACAGGTACAACGAGTCAATGTTGAATCAATTCTTCTGTTGCTTGGTTACAAGGCAGATGATTAATCAACTAAAATTATTTAATTAGTGGGCAACTTTATCAGTCATACAAGACTATGGATTGTACTAGCCTGGTTCTTCTTCTAAAACACTTACAAACATATATTTAAAATGTTTTAAATGTGATCCATAAAGATCTTCTTAGGGCAACTGACCTAGTTGAGCACATTGATCAACTAGAGTCTCCCACTCCACTCTATGCATTATGTTGATGAGACAGATGTATAGCTGGCAATCTGCAGATATTCCCACTTGCTTAATGAAAATCTGTTTTCTACACTGTCATTGTCTAGGACCGAATAT